CTGGTGGACAGTGAAGAAGAGGAACTATTTTTCTTTACTTTTTTGCCATCATTTTTTTCTGCAGCCCTATCACTGAGGAAAAAAAGAAAGTCCATTAGCAGGCATAAGTGTATATATACATGTACCAAACTTTTGTAAAACAAGGTTTTAGGTAAACAAGAGACCCATGGGCCACAATGCTCACCCGAGTAACTTTAGCCTCGCTGTTCTCCAAAAATTTTTTAAGAGATTTATATATTACCATGAAAAACCCCATGTTATGGTCCCATCCTAGTTCTAAAGGGTCTCTGATTCCACATAACAACACAGTCTTGCAATAATGGAAAATTCTTTTGCTTTACACATGCATTATATGTAAAATTTTATCCAGATGAGAAAATTTTAAAATTGTTTTCTTATATATATTTAGTCCTATGTAAAATTTCCCCTTTTGTGGCTCCACCAAATCCCCCGGGCCATGATTTGAACAATTTACATTATAATAATATAATTATTAGATAGCTATACTTAAGTTTCAACTTTTCAGATTTATAAAAACTTTTTCCTATTTATTCCAATGTAAAACCTTGACACCTTATTGTGGTCCCACCCTACCACTGAGGACTAATATTGAAACAGTTTAGAATCTACATTATGTCACAAAGCTTCCACATAAGTTTCATCTTTTCTGGTCCAGTGGTTCAAAAGCAGAAGATTTTTTACAGATTTTTTTCCCATATATATTTCAATATAAAACTTTGATCCACTACTGTGGCCATACCCTACTACATGGGCCATGATTTGAAGAATTTAGAATCCACCCTACCTCATGATGCTTTCACAAACATGCAAGTTTCATCTTTTCTGGTCCAGTGGTTCATGAGAACAAGATTTTTCCTTTGGACTCGTAAGTGAACATTAGATCTCCTATTGTGGCATTGTAGAATCTACACAACCTCACAATATTTTTTACCTAAGTTCCATTGTTTCTGGTTCAGTGGTTAAAGTGAAGATGATTTTTAAAGATTTATCCTATATATTTCAATGTTAAACTTTAATTCCAAATTAGGACGGTAGGTAGGTGGGAAAAAAATTTTCCCAGAAAATTCTAACATCAATGCTGAATTTTCATAAAATCTGTTTTGTTGAATGCATAAAAAATAATTGTTTCCTGGAGGTTAAAAAAAAAAATCTGAGTCGGGCCATTTTAGCTATTTTAGTAGAATCTACACAACCTCACAATATTTTTTACATAAGTTCCATTGTTTCTGGTTCAGTGGTTAAAGTGAAGATGATTTTTTAAGATTTATCTTATATAGATCTCCTATTGTGGCATTGTAGAATCTACACAACCTCACAATATTTTTTACCCAAGTTCCATTGTTTCTGGTTCAGTGGTTAAAGTGAAGATGATTTTTAAAGATTTATCCTATATATTTCAATGTTAAACTTTAATTCCAAATTAGGACGGTAGGTAGGTGGGAAAAAAATTTTCCCAGAAAATTCTAACATCAATGCTGAATTTTCATAAAATCTGTTTTGTTGAATGCATAAAAAAATAATTGTTTCCTGGAGGTTAAAAAAAGTTCTGAGTCGGGCCATTTTAGCCAGTTGGTCAGGAGAGGGCAACCAAACAAATTTTTACAGATTGCCCAGTGGTAAGATTTAAAGATTTTACTTTATATTTCAATGCAAAATTTGATCCTCTATTGTGGCCCTCCCCTACCCCTGGCCATGATTTGAAAACAATTTAGAATCTACACTACCTCAGGAAGCTTACACTTAAGTTTTAAATTGTTTAGCCCAGTCATTCTTGAAAAGATTTTTTAATGACCCATCCCATTGTTGCCCTTTCTTGATTATGTTGCCCTGGAAGACAGCTTTGCTTTTCATTTAAACAATTTAGAATCCCCTTCACCCAAAGATGCTTTGTGCCAACTTTGGTTAAAATTGACCCAGTGGTTCTTGAGAAGAAGTTAAAATATGAAAAGTTTACAGACGGATGGATGGATGGACAGAGTTGGAAGCTTGACAGTAAGTGATCAGAAAAGCTCACTTCAATTTTCAGTTCAGGTGAGCTACCCCCCCCCCCCCCCCAAAAAAAAACCCCAAGATGTGTTTGTGAAACACTGATGTCTCCTATGGCAGCTCAAGGTCAAGTTTTAAGTTTTTCAGATGTAGTTCAAACTCCAAGGTCAAGAGTTCAAAATGTTGGTAACCAAAGAAAGGTCTTGACACAAGGAAATGAAAACCCTAGCACCAACCATTTAGAAAATATGGACAAGATTAAAATTTTTCAAAAATAGGTCATACTCCAAGATCAAGATAATGAAGTCAAAAATACTGGTACCAAGGAAAGGTCTTGTCACAAGGAATACATAAGTGAAATATGAAAGCCCTAGCACCAACTGTTCAAAAGTTAAAGGCAAGGTTAAAGTTTCCCCCCAATGTAGGTCAAACTCAAAGGTCAAGGTCAAGAGGTCAAAAATGTTGGTACCCCCAGGAAGTTCTTGTCACAAGAAATACATGTGTGATATAAGAAAGCCCTAGCAACAACCATTCAAAAGTTATGGCCAAGGTTTAAGTTTTTCAAAAGTAGTCTAAATCCAAGTTCAAAAATGCTGGTTCCCAAAAAAAAGGCTTTTTACATGGAATACACATGTGAAATATAAAAGCCCTCACACTGAATGTTCCAAATTTATGACCAAGGTTAAAGTTTGGTAAAATTTGCAAAAGTATGTCAAACTCCAAGGTCAAGAGGTCAAATATGTTAGTACTAAAAGAAAGGTCTTGTCACAAGAAATATACATGTGAAATATGAAAGCCCTAGCAACAATCATGCAAAAGTAAAGGGCAAGGTTAACAATTTTGCAGACAAACAGTTTAACAGATAGATAGACAAACAGACCAAAAACTATGTGCCCTTTGAATCTTCGATTACAGGGGAACAAAAAACAGCATGATTACAGAACATTAGTTCTAAAATTTGATAAATCTGCAGCAAGGTGATTAAATGCTTCTTACCTAAAAAATGGCAGCTTTTGTATGAAGACCTCCTTGTTTACGCTGGTAGCTTTGGTCTTATCATTGTCAAAAACTAAATTAATGACAAGACGTAAATATGTTTGAAACACTTTTCGACGATTTTCTACAACCTTGGCATCCTGAAAAAAAATTGTAGACAGCACTGTAAGAAAATATTTAGTTACCCACATCTAGTATTAGAAGAATCCTTTTCTGTAAAAAAATCAAAAACTAAATTAATGACAAGACATAAATATGTTTGAAACACTTTTCAACAGTTTTCTACAACCTTGGCAACCTGAAAAAAAATTTTTTGTAGACAGCACTGTTAGAAAAAAATTAGTTACCTACATCTAGTATTAGAAGAATCCTTGTTTTAGAAAAATTTACCTTTTTTCCTATGGTCTTTTTAGGAGGAAATTCAAATTTTCCAGTCTTTGGATAAATCTTTTTTATTTGATTGTGAAATTGATGAAATTGGCTGAATCTTTTATAAACATTCCATTCTTCATCTTTAATTCTAACATATATCTGAAATATGAAAAATTACAGATCAGTCTTTAAGGAATTAGCACACGGGTGGGTGCATTACTAATACTCCACATATAAACTTTTCATTAAACACATCTACATGCATAATGAAGAATTGGTTGATTTATGTGATACACATGCTGGAGTATTGTTTACTTTACCTGACATACCTGAAGGAGCATTGGTTAATGTACCTGATGATACACATGATGGATATTGTTTTATGTACCTGATATACATGATGGGCATCTGATGCTGCTCCCTGGAGGAAGGCAGCAGGAATCCAGATGTTAACAAGTGACCTGATCCGAACTGAGGCTTGCTGATCCAGGTCAGCATTGGTTTCCTCCCCAGCGGAGAGTAAATCCTGTGGGAGCTTAAAATAGAACAAAGTATTTTGATGGAGATTAGTACTTAAGTATTTATTCTGCTTTAAGATTACACTTCAAAATATGTAAGTCATAAAAAAGCAACATAAATTATCTCTACTAATCAGTTATCCTCCTGCTAAACACAAATAATTACAAATTATGACCCAACACACACACAATGAATAGAGAATTTACTTACAAGTCCTCTAAGGTCTACAAGCCTCTACACTTTATAGAGAATTTACTTCAAGTCCTCTAAGGTCTACAAGCCCCCCTACACTTCATAGAGAATTAACGTCCAGTCCTCTAAGGTCTACCAGCCCCCCTACACTTCATAGAGAATTAATGTCAAGTCCTCTAAGGTCTACGCCCCCTACACATCATAGAGAATTAACGTCTAGTCCTCTAAGGTCAACCAGCCCCCTACACCTTATAGAGAATTAACGTCCAGTCCTCTAAGGTCTACCAGCCCCCCTACACTTCATAGAGAATTAATGTCAAGTCCTCTAAGGTCTACAAGCCCCCTACACCTTATAGATAATTTACTTCAAGTCCTCTAAGGTCTACAAGCCCCCCTACACTTCATAGAGAATTAACATCTAGTCCTCTAAGGTCTACCAGCCCCCTACACCTTATAGAGAATTAACGTCCAGTCCTCTAAGGTCTACAAGCCCCCCATACTTTATAGAGAATTTACTTCAAGTCCTCTAAGGTCTACCAGCCCCCCTACACTTCATAGAGAATTAACGTCAAGTCCTCTAAGGTCTACCAGCCCCCCTACACTTTATAGAGAATTAACGTCCAGTCCTCTAAGGTGTACAAGCCCCTACACTTCATAGAGAATTAACGTCCAGTCCTCTAAGGTCTACAAGCCCCTACACATTATAGAGAATTTACTTCAAGTCCTCTAAGGTCTACAAGCCCCCCTACACTTCATAGAGAATTAACGTCTAGTCCTCTAAGGTCTACCAGCCCCCTACACGTTATAGAGAATTAACGTCCAGTCCTCTAAGGTCTACCAGCCCCCTAACCTTATAGAGAATTTACTTACTGGTCTTCTAAGGACTCCCCCCCCCCCCTACACTTTATAGAGAAATTACTTACCAATCCTCTAGGAAGAAGAAGAATTTACTTACTGGGCCCCTGAGGTCTACCAGTTCCCCCTGCAGTCTTCTGATGAAACCCTCTTTAGCATTAAGCTGTCTGTGAAGCATCTCATTAAACTCCATCAGTTCCCCATGCATCTCTGCCACCTGTCACATTAAATTTAACATACAGTGATTAATCTTACTATAACAGAGCTTTAAGACCTGTTATAAAAGTATAAGATAAATCAATAGAAATCAAGTTTAATGACTAACTTGAACTGAACATGAACTGCAGTAAGTAATCATTTAAAAACTGAAATCTAGTGGGTTTTTTTAGTTTCTTGTTTTTTAATGGATGGATAAGTGACTGACCTGGATAAGTTTCTTTTCATACTCGGATGCCTCATGACTGTAGTCCACTGTAGACTTGGCGGGGGGGATGGAGGGCTGGGGCTCCTCAAGGTGAATTCCTAAACTATCTGTATAACGATAATAAAAACTGACTGATGATTTTTAAAAAATCAAATACAGTTGAACTTTGATATCTGGAACATCTATATCTCAAATATAATGGATATTTGGTATAATGGGTCATTTGAAAGTCCCAAACACTTTTTCTTGATGCATTTTACTCTTGAAATTTCAAACCTTAAGCTATCTCCACCTTTTTTCTAGGTCCCATTTGAGTTTGAGATAATGAGGTTTGACTGTATGTATACTTAACGGTTTTAACCATAAGATATATGTGAATCAGTAAGTTGTACATTCAGATAATACTGTAAAGTATAGCCAAGGACTCCTTACCATCAACTTGTGACCCTTCTGCCCTCAACATCTGAACAGCATTGACATATCTTCTGAGCTGGTGTTTCAAAAGCTCATTTTCCCTGATAAAAGAATCATTAGTATGCAGTGTCTTTCTTATTCTTCATATCACAGAATGCAAGCTAGTGTAATGTGCATTCTTTGGGAACTTATTTTTGTACTGTAGTGTATCTAATGACATCTGCACTTCTTCAGTATGTGCTACTTAAAGATAGGACTGGGACAATTCAGGGTTCAATCGACTCGGTTCAGTTTCAGTTCAAAACGATATGGTTCGTTTTTTTCAATAAAAATAATAATCTTTGCTTTATAAACTCATTTACTTAATAAGGATAACAAATATAAAATTCAACCAAAAAATAAAATATTGTAAAAGGAAAAGGTGTTTGTGGAATAAAAAAAAAACTAAATCACTGACTTCAAATTGGTACAATCAGTATAAAAGTATTAAAGTCATGAAAATAAATACTTCCGATCTCCTATTATTGGCTGCCATTTTTGTTTATACGTGTAATGTAAATTTTAGGGATGTCAAAATATCTATTTTCTTTAGTCGAATATTCGATTGTCTTATTCAAACGATAGTAGAATATATTCAAAACTTATTCAGAAACTAAAATTTAATTTCAAACTACACTGGTACATGACTTATTTAACCCCAAATCCCATTTTCTTAAATTTACATGTATTAAAAAGTAACATCAAATGTTACACACAGATGTTCACATGGACCTAAAATGTGGATAGGGTGTTTACTTTATATTTACTAAATATAGACCGCTGTATTCTCCAAAATGTATGATTTCCCCGTCAATCATGTTCATAAATCGGTCTGTAAAGTCGGATTTTTAGGAAGCATAAAAAATGAAAGTACAGATATATTTTTTTAAAGCTTATTAAATTGAGAGGGGGGGGGGGGGGGGGGGGGAACACACTGTCTGTGATAATGTTAAATATTTGAATATGTACAAGAATATTAATTTTATAATAATTATCGTAGTGTCCAAACATGTCACTGCTATATAGCCTAATGGGTACATGGTATGAGATCAAGTCCAATTAATAATTTTACAAAGAAAGTGCAGTATAGCGACATAATTTTATTACAAAAACAACACATTAATTGACAAATAATTCTCGCAGAAGTGAAGCATTTCTAATTACTGTACTTTCTACATGAACAGTCAGCAGTTTTTAATGAGGAAAATTATCTCATTGACTGTGTCTGTGGAAAGACGGTTTCTCAATTTTAGGATAAGAATTCCACTCTTTTACATAATTTATTTATTTGAATGTCGTTTCGTTATTCGATCATCGGTCCATTCGACTGATAGTCGAATAGTCGACTATTCATTGACATCCCTAGTAAATTTTGAACCAAACCAAACCAAATTCTGGATCCGTGCATCAAATCAAACAATATGGACTGCGATGCACCGGCACTGCACAACCCTACTTAAAGATATCCCTACTTTCAGGATTTGTAGTACATGTTTTTGAAATTTTAACAGAATGTGATTTTTAGCAACTCCCTGCTATCTCCACACTTTTCTTAGTTTTGGAGGGTTTGTTATTTAGTTTACACTAACATTTACAGTGCGACTTTAACAGTCCCTGCTTATTGAGACTTATACTGCATTCTTACTTTTGGAGGGTCTGGTATTTAGCCTTACTTTTGGAGGGTCTGGTATTTAGCCTTACTTTTGTAGGGTCTGGTATTTAGCCTTGCTTTTGGAGGGTCTGGTATTTAGCCTTACTTTTGGAAGGTCTGGTATTTAGCCTTACTTTTGGAGGGTCTGGTATTTAGCCTTACTTTTGGAGGGTCTGGTATTTAGCCTTACTTTTGGAGGGTCTGGTATTTAGCCTTACTTTTGGAAGGTCTGGTATTTAGCCTTACTTTTGGAGGGTCTGGTATTTAGCCTTACTTTTGCAGGGTCTGGTATTTAGCCTTACTTTTGGAGGGTCTGGTATTTAGCCTTACTTTTGGAGGGTCTGGTATTTAGCCTTACTTTTGGAGGGTCTGGTATTTAGCCTTACTTTTGGAGGGTCTGGTATTTAGCCTTACTTTTGGAAGGTCTGGTATTTAGCCTTACTTTAGGAGGGTCTGGTATTTAGCCTTACTTTTGGAGGGTCTGGTATTTAGCCTTACTTTAGGAGGGTCTGGTATTTAGCCTTACTTTTGGAGGGTCTGGTATTTAGCCTTACTTTTGGAGGGTCTGGTATTTAGCCTTCCTTTTGGAGGGTCTGGTATTTAGCCTTGCTTTAGGAGGGTCTGGTATTTAGCCTTACTTTTGGAGGGTCTGGTATTTAGCCTTGCTTTTGGAGGGTCTGGTATATAGCCTTACTTTAGGAGAGTCTGGTATTTAGCCTTACTTTTGGAGGGTCTGGTATTTAGCCTTACTTTTGGAGGGTCTGGTATTTAGCCTTGCTTTTGGAGGGTCTGGTATTTAGCCTTACTTTTGGAGGGTCTGATATTTAGCCTTACTTTTGGAGGGTCTGGTATTTAGCCTTACTTTTGTAGGGTCTGGTATTTAGCCTTACTTTTGGAGGGTCTGGTATTTAGCCTTACCTTAGGAGGGTCTGGTATTTAGCCTTACTTTTGCAGGGTCTGGTATTTAGCCTTACTTTTGGAGGGTCTGGTATTTAGCCTTACTATAGGAGAGTCTGGTATTTAGCCTTACATTTGGAGGGTCTGGTATTTAGCCTTACTTTAAGAGGATCTGGTATTTAGCCTTACTTTTGTAGGGTCTGGTATTTAGCCTTACTTTTGGAGGGTCTGGTATTTAGCCTTACTTTTGGAGGGTCTGGTATTTAGCCTTGCTTTTGGAGGGTCTGGTATTTAGCCTTACTTTTGGAGGATCTGGTATTTAGCCTTACTTTTGGAGGGTCTGGTATTTAGCCTTACTTTTGGAAGGTCTGGTATTTAGCCTTACTTTTGGAGGGTCTGGTATTTAGCCTTACTTTTGGAGGGTCTGGTATTTAGCCTTACTTTAGGAGGGTCTGGTATTTACCCTTACTTTTGCAGGGTCTGATATTTAGCCTTACTTTTGGAGGGTCTGGTATTTAGCCTTACTTTAGGAGGGTCTGGTATTTAGCCTTGCTTTTGGAGGGTCTGGTATTTAGCCTTACTTTTGGAGAGTCTGGTATTTAGCCTGCTCTTTCTCCTGTTTAACAGCAGCCATCTGCTTCATCTCCTCAATTTCTGCCCTCAACATGGAGGATGTCTCCATCTCCTGTTGTAGCATCGCCTGGATACTCCTACAAAACAATGCCATCTCTGAGAGTACTAAAACAGCTGCTTCATCAACATACTGAAATCTTATTGATAGCTTAACATCCCAAGACACCATCAGATCTGTACATCAGAAGACACCATCTGATCTGTACATCACCAGACACCATCAGATCTGTACATCACCAGACACTGTCTGATCTGTACATCAAAAGACACAGTCTGGTCTGTACATCACCAGACACTGTCTGACCTGTACATCACCAAACACTGTCTGACCTGTACATCACCAGACACTGTCTGATCTGTACATCACCAGACACTGTCTGACCAGTACATCACCAGACACTGTCTGACCTGTACATCACCAGACACTGTCTGATCTGTACATCACCAGACACTGTCTGATCTGTACATCACCAGATGCTGATCTGTACATCACCAGACACAGTCTATCTGCATATCACCAGACAATGTCTGATCTATACATCACCAGACAATATCTGATCTGTACATCACCAGACACTGATCTGTACATCACCAGACACTGTCTGATCTGTACATCACCAGTTACTGATCTGTACATCACCAGACATTGTCTAACCTGTACATTATCAGACATATATACATCACCAGACTTTGTCTGATTTGTACATCATTAGACATTTGTATATCACCAGACATCTGTACATCATCAGACATCTTTACATCATCACACATCAGTACACCAGACATCTGTACGTCATCAGACATCTGTTCATCATCACACATCTGTACACCAGACATCTGTACATCACCAGACATCTGTACACCAGACATCTGTACACCAGAAATCTGTACATCATCAGATATCTGTACATCATCAGACATCTGTACATCATCAGACATATGTACATCACCAGACATCTGTATATCACCAGACATCTGTACATCACCAGACATCTGTACATCATCAGACATCTGTACATCACCAGACACCTGTACATCATCAGACATCTGTACATCATCAGACATCTGTACATCACACATCTGTACATCATCAGACAACTGTACATCATCAGACATCTGTACATCAGACATACATAAATCATCAGACATCTGTACATCATCAGACATCTGTACATCAGACATCTGTACATCATCAGACATCTGTACATCATCAGACATCTGTACATCACCAGACATCTGTACATCAGACATCTGTACATCATCAGACATCTGTACATCAGACATCTGTACATCATCAGACATCTGTACATCATCTGTACATCATCAGACATCTGTACATCATCAGACATCTGTACATCATCTGTACATCATCAGACATCTGTACATCAGACATCTGTTCATCATCAGACAACTGTACATCATCAGACATCTGTACATCATCAGACATCTGTACATCAGACATCTGTACATCATCAGACATCTGTACATCAGACATCTGTACATCATCAGACATCTGTACATCATCTGTACATCATCAGACATCTGTACATCATCTGTACATCACCAGACATCTGTACATCAGACATCTGTACATCACCAGACATCTGTACATCCCTTTACTGATATGTAGTTATTTTTACTCACTTGTTCTGTTCCTCCACCTCATCCTTACGAACCATCATGGCTACCACAGCTTTTTTTAACTCTTCTGTAAAACATAAAATTCTCTCCACTTACATTTCCCATGTACACCAGTGCCATGCTTGAAATATCAATCAACTCAATGATTTTTTTGTTATGTATTTTTGAAACTGCCTTTTATCAATGGATATTTCATTTACCAGTCGACATGGTTTCCCTTTGTATCACCTCCTCAACATTGACACCATCCCCTGCTGTTCTACTGAAGCTAAAATTGATCCCCAGACATAACTATAATAGTCTTATTAATAAACACAAATTTGAGGAAAGTGAATCTAATATTACACAACAAGATTTATGAAGGTTTAATTTTAAAGATTTTTTTTTCACTTTTAATAAGTGTTCAGCATTGTAAGATAATTCTGAAAGCTTTTGAAATTCAAAGCTAAAACTTTGAACTTTTTTTATTAATAATGTTAATGTACATTAATGTACATGGCTTAATACACATTCATGAAAAAATTACCTAGAGTTAGTTCCCTTTTGTGCCATATCTAGAGCTAATGCTGCAGACTCTATATCATATCCACTGAATTTTGGCAAACTTCCTGTGGAATCAACTTAGCAAAACAAAAAAAAAAGAAACAAAATTTAAAATCTAAAACATTTCCTAAATGAAGTCTATTGTTATTTACCAATTTTAACAGAAGTACTTAAACTATAAAATTGGATAATTGTTCTGGAGATATAATAAAGGAAGAGAGGTTAACATACCTGAGGTACTCAGGGAATCAGAGATCCGTGGCACACCCCTTACATCCCTGGATGTGATTGGCTGACCCTCCTTAGATAATGGAACCAATCCCTGAATAGAATCACTATCAAAGAATAGTTAACAGTTGGATTATAATACAAAAGCCTTTGTAATCAACCAATAAGACAAACGCCATTCCAAGCTTTTAATTGTATGTACATAGAAAACATCCTTTAATACACTATCTCATTGGCAAATTTATTACAAGATATGGTCGACAAAACATATTCCATCTCAAGCAGCCACAGCTATCATGAGATACCATGGAAACCAAAATTGGATCTTACCTAATTTCGAAGTCGGCAGAGCTGAGGGACTGAACACTCGGTGGTCTGTCATAAGAAGTCTCCGAGTTAATACTGGCCTCTCGCTGATACGACATTTCCACAGATAAATGTGTCCGTAAGTCACTAGAACTATTGTCATGTATTGACAGTGAGGGAATCTGTGAATCCAATTCACTGCTTTCATCAATTGTCTCCCCTTCTAATGACCTAGGGGTCAGGTCAGATGACCCTATTGTGTACTTTGAACTGTGTTCTGATTGGTCAGGATCAGCACTGAATGTTCCAGAATCATCCTCGTCAAAACTGACAATGTGAGCATTCTTCTTCCTTTTCTTCTTTTCTTTCTTTCTGACCTCTGTATGTTTTCCTGTAAATGATAAGATGTAAAAAAAAAAATAGCAAAAATTCTGATAATAACACTATGCAATGATGCAATCTATGAAAAAATTGTATCTAATTTGTATTTTGCATGTATTGAACTTTGTATCTGCATATTTAAAAGTAAATTTCATAGAGTGAGGAAAAATGTGAAATATTACCAGAAAAGAGGTTACCTAGTGGTTTTCCCTTTATTTCATTTGTTTTTAATCTACATAATTATTTCTTTACAACAAGGTCTAGTTAAGCCTGATGCACTGTTATGTTTACTCTAGCTGATGCACTGCATGAGGACATTTTATCTAAGGATGGTGCACTGCTTTAGGAAATTTTACAATAGCCTAAAGGTGGTGCACCATTAAAGGAAATTTTACCTTGGGGTGGTGCACTGCCCTCCTCACCAGCTATCACTGGGCGGGGCTCGTTAGCAATCTTGTCCAGGACAGGTTTTGAGGTCACTGGAATGTTGATATTGCTCGAGGCTACCCTCTTGACAGCATTCAGGTCTGGGTTGTCGATATTAATGGCAAACAAAATCGATCCTAAACCTACAACACCACATATCATTTAGGAAAATGTCCCAAATTTAGTGAACCTAATATGTCAAATATTAAAATGCACACATTGTAGTGTTACACTAGACAAATTAAAATTACAAAATATTCAAATTGCACAAATAACCTGTTATATGACAGGGCTTAAATTTTCATAAAGAAGAAAAATTTCTTCAACCGTAATTATTACACGACTATTTCTATGTACAAGTTATCTAAGACTCTCACCAGCAGCCATCATAGGCATCATACTGCTTCTCTCCTGGTCACGCATGAATGCCCAAGATTCATAATACTGCCTGTTCAGAACAAAAACGTTACATAAATTTTAACTACATAAGACAAAAGTCAAGGTGTAACAGACATCAAGCTCATCTCAAAAAAACCCAAACAAACTCATATTCTTGACCATCTTGTATATAAAAGACAGTAACAAGTATGACTTATGAAGCAGAACTAATTTCTGTCTAATTATAATCACCTAAGGAGTTCCTCACTCTCCAGGATCATGTGCATGTTCCGCTCCAGTGAGTGTTCATTGAGTGTCGATCTGAGCCACGCTCGACCCCGTCCTGTGTCTGTGCTGATGTTCTTCAGGGAATAAAATCGGTCTTGCTCATGTTTTGTTAGGCTCTCTTTAACATACTGCCAGAACACTGTACAAATTACAAGTCAATGGGTAAAACTTAGGATGCTTCTTAATTCTGCAGGAATAACTGAATATTTAGGCAGACATCTGACTTTGTAAGAAACAATTTATTGAATGTCTTCAATATTTAAGGGCAATGTCACCTGGCATATTGAACATCAGGAATGGACTGACCTTAGCAAAGATGCTATTTTGAGCAAAGATTAAGTCCTTGAGAATAAAGACTCAAAATATAATTGGTATGAAGTAAATTTAAAGCATGTAGGATTCCTAGAAATGTATAAGATATGTTCAGTTACACAATGTCACACAAGATTGGAAGTCTGGCTTGAGTTGAAATCACATCCTTGGGTCAAAAGCATAGACTGTGGCAAGTTTGATTCAAATAAAAGATAACACTACTGGACGAAAAAAGTGCTGAGAATCCCAAATTTTACTGATAATGTTTGATAATTACTGATACGGTGCTGTTCTTGCTGATAAATACTGATATTTACTGTTATTCTTACTGTTGTTGCTGATAATTTTAGTTGTTTCTGATAAATACTGATAATTACTGTTGATGTGCTGTCGATGCTGAGATTTACTGATAATTACTGTGGTCTTTGTTCTTAAGCTGGGAAGGGCTAAAGAAGAACTGAGGGCTGTAAAAACCTTCAATTATTTCTTTCTTTTAATTATAAGTTATCATTACGACATTTTCATATTTCTTTAAATGTTCTGTACCCTTATCTCATTTACTACAATAAGGTTGTGAAAATGTTGACAATAAATAAATGAAACCTTCCGCGTATATTAAGCAAAAGTGTTCTACCAATCTATGGAAATAGTATAATTTATTTGTAAGCAAGATAAATGGAATTTTAATAATGTACTGTAAATAAAAAGAAAATAAGGCTATCTTTTAAAAAGATTCATCGCCGCCCTCTCCCGACTCCAATATATTTGGGTAGGCAGGTCGGTGGTTTTTTTTTTCAATAATAAGAAATAGTTCTTAATGGGTGGAAAAAATTCGGGATAAAAAATATTTCCAGCAGGTTAGAAAAGTTTGATTCGCACGGTTCACTCCGTCAACTGGTCAAGAGAGGACGACATTTTCTTTTTAAAGATGACCTTTCATATAGCTATTTTTGTTTTTTTTTTCTTTATCAAAGATATTTATTTTTTTCATTTTTAAATGTTCGGTTTTCTGGTCTCTGTCAAGATATTTGAAAATTTGCTCGAAAATTAGAAATTTTATGCATTTTTAAATTTTATAAAGAGATGAAAACAGAGGTGAATATGTTCAATCTGGAGGCACAGATTATTTATTTATTTATTTATTTATTTATTCATTCATTCATTCATTTATTTGAACGTAATATAGGCATTTTAGATTCTTCCAGAATATCTTTTCTACATCTACATGCACACGATACATACATGTGCAACCGGCAGATTGGGGGCTGATTAAAAATTAATGCATGGTCAGAATCCCCAGTGTCAGAGCGAAGGTACACATGTGTTTATGTTATTTTGATGTTGGTCTCTTAAAATTTCATGACAAGAAACATTTTTATTCAATAAGTTTTAAAATCTCATTAATTTAATTTTATGAAATGTGAAATAAGAAATGAGACCTAATATAATATGTTTACTTAGTAAAGTAGGCTACATGTATATGATCAAATTGATCGATTTCAATCTTGTGTGGTCAAAAATTGCTTGGAATAAATTGATCTTCATTGATCAAAAATCGAAGATCAGTCTCTGATTTGGCTGTATTGTGTACAAGTCTTCCGCCCCGGGGTAGAACGGGGTACAACTTGTATATTCCATGTAAATTTTAGTGGTCAGCGTAACAATGGGCACTAATTACCTATTGTTCCTCGTCTGCAGCCACCGATGTACATAATAAACAAACTACCTACACTGTACATGTGCTTTCTTCTTTTAGCAGGAAAATCTTTACGGTCGCACGGAAAAAAATTATCCTGTAATATTCAATTTGTTGACGAATAAAATTGAAAATTGAAAAAAAAAAAACTATTTAGCAAAATAGGACATTGCAGTACTAAGATAAAAAAAAAAAGAAATGAAGTTATATACATATACATTGTACAGACTTAATATTCAATAATTATTTTAATTCACATAAATCTATCTTTGCTCAGTGTTTAATTTTATTTGTTATTTTTATGCACATTACTTGACACGCTTGAGATGTTAAAAGAAAATCCCGGGGAGGGGGCTACATGTATTTTCAATTCTGAATCTCGGTTAACGATGGTTTGGGGCCCGTGAAACGGAGACGAGAAATTGATGCGGAACATTTGACTTCATTTTACAATTAAAACATTATGCAAAATGTACATATAAATTTAAAAAAAAAATAGATGGTTTAGTGAAAGCAATTATTGAAATTATATTAGCATTAACTGTTCACAATTCAGAAACAGGGAATTAAACTCCACATCGCTCAGAATCCGTGAAAAAAATCTTTTATGAATTTTGAATGACAGTAAGATGACGTTGTTTATCGCACTCATGAATAAAATTAATGTTATAGTTCTGAATTTGGTATCGTTCATTGATTCTCTAAAATAATTTATTCATGTATATAAAAAAATGTAATAAGTAATTATAACATGTATGACTTATTAAACATAAAACTAAAGAATCAACCTTGCGCGTATCAGTTTTAAGTTAACAGTATTTCACCCCCCCCCCCCTCCTTTTTGTGCTACAATAAAGCATAATCAAGTCGGTAAGCGCCCAGCCTGTACTGTTCGTTTATACAAAGATCTCCGACAAGGAGAAAATGGAATAAAAAAAACATTATAATCTCTGTACAACACTATTTCTAATTTTACAAAATTCACGTCGCACGATACACAGAATGTACTAATAATTGACCCGATTCTCAAAACGAAAGTAGAACTTTTACACGTGGTTGACATATGTGTTCCAGAACAGCAATTTAGCTAGACGGCATTAATGGACGAAAGTAACTTCAAGTTTTGTTTTATTTTATTTTGTTTTTTTGTTTTTTTTAACTGACTGACAGCGTATAACATGTATAAGCAGTTATTTATTGATCTCCCTGATACTGACTTATGTCCATAGACCTAACGCAGATTTATGTACTATTAACAAAGAATTAAAGAAAGACGTGTATTTCATTGACTGAAAATCACACTGCATAAGATTTATAGTGTACTGAAGGCTTAACATTTAAAATAAAAAAAAAAACGAAAGATAGAAAGCGTCGATACTACACAATGATATCAAATTCGCATCGAGGACATAATCAGAGAACTAGAGCGCACTGGCTATATGTATATAAAAGAGATTATTCTACAAATTAAAGATGTTTTATTTTTATTATTTAAACCTGTCACATTCTTCAATAAAAGGACATAGTGTACACAACATAAAATCAGAATAGATTTTTTTGTGAGATATATTTAATACTGGCTAAAGTGTCTTCTTAAAATGAGAGTTTTATGTAAATAGAGGAGGGGGGGGGGTCTCAACTTATAGAGCTCATAAATGTTCAGTTCTCCACACGAAAAAATAAATTGACAATAACAACCACTGACTATATTAAAGATGCCCTCTAAAAGCTTTAAAAATAAAAACTTGTTTTAAACATAGGTAATCAGAGATTACAGAGCTCACCTCAACGAATGTTGTCTTTAAGTAAGGCAAAGTCCCACACTAAACTAATAATCTAGGAGTGTGCATCCCTAGATGCAACATTTATGCAATTTTAGTCTGATAGGGCTTGCAGTTACTTGGGAGTGGACTTATCTGAAAACTTAAAACTAGTCACTCATTCAGAAAATGTAAGTCAAATCCAGCATCCGAAGTTTTGAGATTGTTCGTCCCTTGATGCATCATCCATGCAAGTTTGGTTCAGATAGGCCTTATAGTTACTTGGAAATGAGATCTGCTCCAAAAACTTTAATCTGGTCACTCATCCGGAAAATATTGGTCAGATCCAGCATCTGAAGCAAGTCCAGTTGTGTGAATCCTAAGATGTATCATCCATGCAAGTTTGGTCAATATAGGGTTTATAGTTACTTGGAAATGACATCTGCTCCAAAAACTTTAACCTGGTCACTCATCCGGAAAATATAGGTCAGATTCAGCATCTGAAGCAAGTTCAGTAGTATGCATCCTTAAATGTATCATCCATGCAAGTTTGGTCAATATAGGGCTTTTAGTTACTTGGAAATGGGATCTGCTCCAAAAACTTTAACCTGGTCATTCATCCGGAAAATATAGGTCAGATCCAGCATCCGAAGCAAGTCCAGTAGTGTGCATCCTTAAATGTATCATCCATGCAAGTTTGGTCAATATAGGGCTTTTAGTTACTTGGAAATGAGATATGCTCCAAAAACTTTAACCTGGTCACTCATCCGGAAGATATAGGTCAGATCCAGCATCCGAAGCAAGTCAAGTAGTGTGCATCCTTAAATGTATCATCCATGCAAGTTTGGTCAATATAGGGCTTATAGTTACTTGGAAATGAGATCTACTCCAAAAACCTTAACCTAGTCACTCATCCGGAAAATGTAGGTCAGATCCAGCATCCGAAGCAAGTTCAGTAGTGTGCATCCTTAGATGTATCATCCATGCAAGTTTGGTCAATTTAGGGCGTATAGTTACTTGGAAATGAGACCTGCTCCAAAAACTTTAACCTGCTCCAAAAACATTAACCTGGTCATTCTTTAGCTGAAATTGCAGCATCTGAAACCTTGACTGGTACAATGAAACACACTAGAAGCATCCTCCATGCATCTCTGACTAATATAGGCCATAGAAGTACTTGAAAAGAAAACTGCTCCAAAAACCTTAACCTGGGACGCCGACGCCAACACCGACGCCGAGGGTATTACATAAGCTCCCCCAACTTCGTTGAGGTGAGCTAAAAAGTACTTGGAGAAAAACCACTGCAAACACAATTATTATTTTCCGCAGATTTGAAAACTTTGTGAAAGGAGAAATATAAAGGTAAAGAAAAACACAAACATTTGTGATCTAATTTTATAACATTATGATGTAAAATGATTATAATAAAATTAATACATGAAATATGAAAACAAATAAAATGCGACTTTTTTTTCTAAAATAATTTTTTTTGTTAGAATACTGTAATGAATTTGTTGATAAAATACTTTCTTTAAAACAAATAATCATTTCTTAGGCTATTTTAGTCCCCTCCCAGATTAAAAACAATGACCACAGTAATTATCAGTAAATCTCAGCATCGACAGCACATCAACAGCATTTATCAGACTCCACAGTAAAGACGACAGTAATTATCAGTATTTATCAGAAACAACTAAAATTATCAGCAACGACAGTAAGAATAACAGTAAATATCAGTATTTATCAGCAAGAACAGCACCGTATCAGTAATTATCAAACATTATCAGTAAAATTTGGGATTCTCAGCACTTTTTTCGTCCAGTAGTGTAAAGAATATAATCATGAATTCCTTGACCTAACAAGCATTACTTTTTTCAGATTTTTTTTTGTATTTGACTTTTTCTGTCATGAAGATCAAAGCATGTCCACTTTATCTCTTTGAAAGAAACCAATGTTTAAGGAACATGTGCTACCATAATATTATCAAAAATTATGAAAGGCATATTATAATTCTGCCAAAGGGATTTTTTCTTTTAAAACATTATCTTTTATTTTCTCTTTACAACACATCAGAAATAATATATTTTGTGTGTTTTGCTCAATTATAAGGATATTAAAGACCTCGTGATCAGAACACTGTTATTAACAGGGTTGTCCAAGAAAACAGCGAACTTTTCAAATATCTCAAAAACTACCTGACCAAAATTATTCACTTTTTGCACAATGTTGGGAAATGATATTTTCTTCATTTTGACAAAATACTATAAGGTTTTTATGTCATATGCATTTAGAAATAGCATTTAAAGGGTGTTAAATATCGGTGGTTGGTGCACTACAATTGTTTGGCCTTCAAAAATAGCATTGCCAGCAATGCTTATTCCAAATGCTTGCGTTTTTCTGGGACAACCCTCATATATTCAGATCCATCACAACACAATTAATAATTGCATACATTTTTTACTGTGATGTACCATTTCTTGAACGTGAATTGAATAAAGAGAGGTATAGGCTTTTCTTGTAAAGCTCTTCCCAGACAGACATCAGACAAAGTGATCCCTATGTGTTATTACGCAGGTAAGACAGAAATGACAGGGAGAGTTTCACCTGGTTCTGTCTCCTTGCTGGTGATGTCCGTGATTATGTCCGTCACTTTATTGAGCCTAGTGAGGTTTGTTACTTGCCTGTAATACAAAGAGTTCTCTCAATTTGACAAAAAATACTTATTTTCATATTAAATTTTAAAATGTGCTTTGCTGTACATGTATTTATATGGGTATGAAGTAAATTTTTCATGTCTATAAAATATTTTAAAAATTATCATTGTTTTCTTTTGACAGCCAGAGTTGGGTAATGAGTTCTTCTTGTTTTGGATAGGTTTGACTTACTTCAAAGCTGTTAATGACTTACTTTAAATCTGTTAGTTATTGCTAGGTTGGCATTAAGGCTGACAGTGTTATTTATAGGTAGGGTTGACTTACTTTAAGGCTGTTATTTATACCTAGGATTTAGCACTGACTTACTTTAAGGCTGTTATTTATACCTAGGATTTAGCACTGACTTACTTTAAGGCTGTTATTTATACCTAGGATTTAGCACTGACTTACTTTAAGGTTGTTAATTACTATTTAATAAGGCTGACTTACTTTCAGGTTGTTCATTACTATCTAATAAGGCTAGCTTACTTTAAGGCTGTCAGGGCTTTGTTCTGTTTCATTCCATGCTGAAGAGCTACTTCCCATGCAGCACACAGACAGGAAACTCTAAAACATGAACAAATGTTCAGTCAATATATGAGGTAAAAACAGAAAACACAGATTAAAAATACTCATTATACACTGTTACAAGTAAAAATGACAATAATCTAGTGTTAACTAGCATAATGAATAGACATTTGTTTGGATTTTTTTTTTGAATCCTGATAATCTCATCTATATAAAATTTCACTAATTTTATAATACATTGTTTTATTTCCTTTGTATATTAATTTCATATTGCAGAAAACAAAGTATTAGTTAATTGATGTGACTACTCTAGCCAGAGATAAATAGTATCAGTTAATTGATGTGACTTAAATAGTATCAGTTAATTGACGTGACTACTCTAGCCAGAGATAAATAGTATCAGTTAATTGACGTGACTACTCTAGCCAGAGATAAATAGTATCAGTTAATTGACGTGACTACTCTAGCCAGAGATAAATAGTATCAGTTAATTGACGTGACTACTCTAGCCAGAGATAAATAGTATCAGTTAATTGATGTGACTACTCTAGCCAGAGATAAATAGTATCAGTTAATTGACGTGACTACTCTAGCCAGAGATAAATAGTATCAGTTAATTGACGTGACTACTCTAGCCAGAGATAAATAGTATCAGTTAATTGACGTGACTACTCTAGCCAGAGATAAATAGTATCAGTTAATTGACGTGACTACTCTAGCCAGAGATAAATAGTATCAGTTAATTGATGTGACTACTCTAGCCAGAGATAAATAGTATCAGTTAATTGACGTGACTACTCTAGCCAGAGATAAATAGTATCAGTTAATTGACGTGACTACTCTAGCCAGAGATAAATAGTATCAGTTAATTGACGTGACTACTCTAGCCAGAGATAAATAGTATCAGTTAATTGACGTGACTACTCTAGCCTGAGATAAATAGTATCAGTAAATTGACGTGACTACTCTAGCCAGAGATAAATAGTATCAGTTAATTGACGTGACTACTCTAGCCAGAGATAAATAGTATCAGTTAATTGACGTGACTACTCTAGCCACAGATATTTAGGTTCATCACCTGCTGTCTGCATCAGCTGCTAATTCTGTTCTGCCACCAAACCGAACTTGACACTGAAATCAACACAAAATAATGTAACTAAAGTATTCCCCTTGTTCAAATTAAATTCAACTTGACACTGCATGAGAAAAAGCCATAAATTTCAAATGTATTTCCAATGTTCGAATCAGAGATGGTTTTCTCCAATCCGGCAATATCCATACTTTTAACATCGCCATGTAGCTCAAGGAATATGAAAGAATTATTGTTGCCAAACACAAGTGATTGGCAGTTTTGGTATCATTAAATACTATTTCTGATATTGCTGATGGAGCAAGCAGTGATGTCGATGATAAGGAAACATGATGACTTTGACAATTTACAGACACCTGCAGCAGGTAACGATAGATCAGAGGCTACTATATTGTACCTGTTTGACAGCGTCCAGAAGCCGTGTAAGGATAGATTGTTTTTCAGCTGAATGTCCATCATCACCTTTGAAACAAATGAAATCATTTGACAACAATTTAAAGCTTGATAAAAATTTGCTATAAATCCTGAAACACAATTTACATTAAATATTCGCTGCTAATAACATGAACAATGGGGACAATGGATGAATACTACTCTTCTATAACAAAAATTAACCAGAATATAATTGCATTAAAGATAGGATTTTCTTTATTTGGGAAATTTCTATTTCACGTGCATTTTTAGGCAAAAACAAACAAGTGGGTAAATTTAGATCAAGTCACTGCACAGTCAGCTGATTGTGGAAGAATATGTAAACAAACATTTGTGGTCGAAAAATAAGAAAATTGTCCCAGTATATATTATCAATGCAATTACATTTAGCCAAACTCGTGCTTTTCTGGAGAACATTACCATTCATTTTCCTTATTAATCATTTTAATTAACCTTCTTCTGTTTAATCATCGTTAACCTCGTTTGTTGTGGGATGTTCTGCAACTAGAATACTCTCCCTTTTGTAGATCACATGATCAAAATAGAACTTCCTGTAATTCTCTTTCCGGTAGGTTAGTACACATGATGGACGTGAAAATGACGTCCCTTTCATATCGATAAAATCTAAAATAATCACAATGACTATCAAGTTGAAATTCATGTAAATAAAATGATATGTCCGTATCGTAACTAAATAAGTGATTATTGTCATGTTTTGTGTTCATTTCAGTTCAAAATGGGGCGCCGACCAGCTCGGTGGTAAGTAGTTCTAAGTTGCACATAAATACGAAAATCAAGTATATCGGTAAACATTATTCACGCACAGTATTTAACATTGCTACTGTTGTCATTTCAGTTACCGGTATTGTAAGAACAAACCATACCCAAAGTCCAGATTTTGTCGAGGTGTCCCAGGTAAAAAAATTGAAACTATGGAAATGGGGGGGGGGGGGGTGTTGTAGTAAAGTTTTGTTTTGAAAAGGTTTTTCCTATGTGTGTGACATTATAAGAAAGAATATTGCATTTTGATACAATTTGAAAAGTATCATTGTTGGATTAATTTATGAAATAATGTGATTATTTGGTGATTTTTTGAACATACTGTTCTGTCAGATCTTGATATGTAGAAAACAGGTTGAAGATTTGGAACATGTTGCTTTTATTAGACATCATGTCAGTTTTTTTCCTTGTGAGTAGTAATGCATAATTGCCAATTTTAGATCCAAAGATCCGTATCTTTGATCTTGGAAGGAAGAAGGCCAGGGTTGACGACTTCCCCCTGTGTGTGCATCTTGTATCAGATGAATATGAACAGCTCTCTTCTGAGGCATTAGAAGCAGGGCGCATCTGTGCCAACAAATACTTGGTCAAAAACTGTGGTAAAGATGCTTTCCACATGCGGATGCGAGTGCACCCCTTCCACGTCATCAGAATCAACAAGATGTTGTCGTGTGCTGGAGCTGATAGGTAAAATTGTCATCATGACCTTATTGTACATGTGCATGGTTTTGCCAAACCCTTGAATTGTAAATTCCTGTATTATAACTAAGCGTCCTTAAAATACTGTAAAAGTGGTTATTTACACTGGTTGTTAAGTACGCATTTGTGACTGTCAAACATTATGCGTGGGTGTAATATACGTTACCAAGAAAAATTACGCGGCCATCGTTAATAACATCGAGTTGTTCCCTTTTGAAAAGGTCAAGGTCAAAAGGTCAAGTAGTGTACACGCATGAATTGGAAAAATTAATTAGAAATAATTACAAACAAACAAAACAAAACCAAAAAGAATTTATACTGGTCATCCATATGTGCATGTTCCTTGGATTGCTAAATATAATGGCGATCTGCACAGTCAAAAGCAGTGAAGTGTGAACAACTTGTGTACACTTTATTGTAATTATTTACGCAAGCTCAAACTTCAAAATGGGATCTCCTTATCCTTATGGTGATTGTTGACAATTCAATAGGTATGTTTGTAGTGACTGAGTTTGTGTAACATTTTGGACTAATTATTTGAAATTTAGTGGGATGTACACCATGTACATGTACATACAAAGGAAATGAAAATGAGTATTGATGTTTTGAAGCTCTAATTGTGTGACGTTGCTTTAAAATATTTAATATGACGATGCATTTTTCATTGCACAATTTAGAAAAAAAAAATTACACTTTCATCACCGTTTGTGATGTAATTATCTACTCCCATGCGTTCAATACCACGATTAATATACGACTAGTTTGGCCGGTTTAACAGTATTAGAAATGGTCTAGAATGATTCCAGAACTTTGAAATTTTGTGACAATATGCGCGGGGGTATTTTATGCGGTTCTAAGCTTACTGCGTAAGTAGTGTAAATTTCCCTCACACGTAAATAACCACTTTTACAGTAAACGATGCCAGCGTTTGCCAAGGATTTTGAAATTTCGCTGCTTTTTTGGTTTGATATGTCTGCATGTGTATAATTTACTAGGCTAAACATGGTGGTACCAGACCAAAGAAATTATTATTTTGTTTTGGAATACGAGTTACTATCAGATCTGCTATTGAGATCAAGCCAGTCTTGTGTATCCTTCCTTTCGTATAAAACTGGCATGATTTCCGCTTAGCTTCATATCCATTGCATTTTTCATGGTGACTTAGCGGTGTTTAGGCATAAGAAAAAGAAATTGATTACTATTACATGCTATTAGAAAATGGAGTCGGTAGGTAGGATTATGTTTTATATTTAAACTTTTTTTTACATAAAGGCATAACTTTGAAATACAATTTTTGAAGAGTTTAAAGTGCTCCTATTAACCATTATGTTTGAAGGGAAAAGTACAGACGTAATTTTTGGATTGTACAACTTAAGAAAAAAAATTGTGTCGGCACATAAAATAACGGTTGGTCAGGTAAAAATAAACATAATTTTTTCTTGGACCTTATCTGGTACAACCTCCCCCATTGTATTTAAAACCCATCATGGATACCATTGAACACAATATATATAAAAAAGAAAATGTAATCCATGATACATACCACCAGATCAAGGGGATTTTCGCCCCATTTTTCTTTGCAGTCTGATGAATGTTGGCAAATGCTGGGCACTTGTTTATGATTATAGGTATTCAGATACTAGACTGATTCTGAATTTATTATAGGGATGCTAGAACATACTATAGAATCAGAATAGGCCTGAACATGTGTTCGTTGTTTTATATGTACTGTATTTGAATTTCCCACAGTATGTGCTGAATGTGCAGATATTTGTAAACTTGTTATTTGTGAAATGTTGAGATGCAGGGAAGTATGCTTGATATGTACTAGATAATTGAATGTCTGTGTTACTGTACATGTATAAGACAGTACCCTTCCCAGTCTTGTCTTGTGTGTCTTGCTTGGGTCTCAGATACTGTCAGATCGTTATGCTGTGTCGCTTTTTTCAAGGCATGCTTTTATGTGTATATTGAAACGGTTCATCACAGCTACATATAAACTTATTCATCCAGGGAAACTATTATTACCCAATATAATTGCATGTAGATGTGAAAAGAAAATCAAAAACATGAAAATGATACTTGATCAGTTGGTAAAACTACAACTGGTTTTGTATATTTTTCTAGGCTTCAGACTGGGATGAGAGGAGCTTTTGGTAAACCACAAGGAACTGTAGCCCGAGTACACATTGGACAGCCAATCATGTCTGTGCGTGCCCGTGAAGCTCATCAGGCTGCAGTTGTAGAAGCTCTCAGGAGAGCCAAATTTAAGTTCCCAGGACGTCAGAAGGTATTGCAAACATTTCTGAAATAAACACTAGGGCTGAAATGATTTGGGTACCTCAGGATTCAATTTTCAATTCTTAGGCCACGTTTTTATTATTATTTAATTGTTTTTGATTCTATTCAAGAGATATCAAAAGCTCTGATAATACAATTAAGAATACAACTTTCTTTTATTTTCATTTTATTGAAACTTTTAATTGTGTTGATCCCATGTTAAGATGTACTATGTTTTTGTTTTGAATGATTCGCCAGGTCTTTGATATTTCCTGACTTGTAATTTATCTGTGAAATGACTTCTGGTGTCTGCCATTTTTGCTGTTAACAGTTGTAAAGAAAAAAAATGCATTGATTTTTATAAATTCTAGAAAAAAACATAAATTATTGGAATCGAATTGTAATTTGAAGAAGTTGAATTGAAAATTGAATCAAATACTAGGCATCATTGTTAGGGTACACTGCAATTAATTGTTACAGCCCTAATGAACAAAAAGATTTGTGGTTATACACTACCAGGGCTACCATCAAGATCATATTGGCTATGTAGGTCTGCATACAGCTAGGATCTTGAGCTCTTGAGCAGTCAACTGGCCTAAATACAACACAGCAACAAGCGTTAGTTCACACAGTACATTTAAATGTCAGTAGACCTATAGATCTAATCTATCAGTTAGGCTAGCTGCTACTTTCCACTCTTTATACAAGAAGAGACTTTTGTTTTTTTCTTTGGAGGATTCCATTTATATTATCCCTCTTTAGGACAACCATAGCATTCTAGCTTATCCATAATTCAACGTGGTAGGAGTGACTTTTTGTAACACAGCCCAAAAGGCATAGTCAATGTCAAAATGTAGGAGGAAATTGCATATAAAGTAAAATGCTGGTTCTTCAATTTTCCCATTTGAAATGTGTCTTGAAAAATTGCTCATTTCTGTTTTATCATCTATACAGTACCAGCTCCATCAGGCAAGCATTGTAGGCCTGGTGGCGTTCTATTACTGTTAAAGAATTTTCTGCCATATTTCTAGTCTTGATGCTACATTTGTGTGGATATTGAGCAGTGGATAAGGCAACATGTAACTATAAGCCTCCCTAGTTATTTCATTAAAATTGGAATATACTTTACTGCCAAAACAATTTAAAAAGTTTTGTTCCACAACACCACCATCACTAAAACAAACATGAAAATGCATTTTTTTTTCCCCCTCTTGCCAGTGTTTGAAGAAAGCTTTCCCTCATGATTCAGAAGTAATTATTTTCAGGTTTATAAAGAAATGCCTTTATGTATCATTCTTAAGCCATTTAATTATATATCTCGGAGCTCTCGCACCACTTTTTGGGACGGGGACCGGGGCCGTAAAAATTGGGGAAAATTAGCGACCTTTTGGGGAATTTTGGGAAAATCAAAACTAGACAGTTTACATTATATTCATGATATATTGAGTTTCTGGTGGTGGTTATCAACTAAATTTCTGTTCTGTAATATAGAGAAATATGAATTACAGATTTAGTAACTACATATCTTACTAAATGTTCTTTACTATTTGGAGAAGTGACAGATTGGGAAAATTAACACTTTCATTTGGGAAAAAAGGTACCTTTTCTGAATTGGGAATGGGGCCTTTGAACGGCCCCCAATATAGAGAATCGAGAGCCCCGCATCTAGGTAAAATAAAGAAGGTTATCATAATAATTGCTATACTCTATAAGTGCTCATTTTGACAAAGTGATGATTGTTAAAAAGTATGGAAGTAAATTATAACTGTCTTGTGATTCAT